CACACACACACACACACACACTCATACACACACACACGCACACGCACGCACGCACACACACATACACACACACACACACACGCACGCACGCACACGCACACACACGCACACACAAACACCCCCGGGAGTCTCTGCGGTGTAAAAAATGTTTACGCTTCGGGATGGCTGCCTGTGTTTAATATTCCGCGCAGCACCACGGCCACATGGAACAGAGGCAATGTTAAAACCGAAAATTTGATGCCGCCTTGACATAGTTCTAGTTTTCAGTGACTGCACCTGTAATGCGAACGTACGTATACATAAGTTCAGAGCGTGTTTATACGTTCCTGGAACATTTATAGCTAAATATTCGCACAGGCACCACCCACCCCTCCATCTCCCGTTCTCCTTCCCTTTCTGCTACTTCCCTGCGTGCTTGCGCGTATGGCGGCAGCGGTTTAACTTTCGGTTTTCCTCGATGCTTCCTCCAGGGTTCCGCAAAAACATGTTTACGGCATTGCGAGCACACGAGCGGCAGTCTGGAGCGGACGGTTCCCGTGCCGTGCGGTTCGGGGGGAGAGTTCCTGTATTGCTCGCAGTTCTGCGACAATGACGCTGTGCTGGCCGGCGGCAGCGGCACCAACAGCGTGCAGGCTATCAACAGCAGGACCGGCCAGGTGGGGGCGCCACCGCGTCCGCGAGTTCCTGTCGAGGTTTTTAACGAGCCGATTTCGATTCTAAAGCATCCTTCTCTGCTAACCATCGGTCAGATTCGGGGGGGGGGGTCAAAGTGCATCGAATCAGGTCAAAGGTTAGTGTGCTCGGCAGTTTTGTGAGTGGTGTCATCATAGTCATGCGACCCTTACTTAACAGGATGCGTTTTTCTTTCTCTCGCTCTCCTTCTCCCGCAGTGCCTCGGCGACGTGAAGTTTTCGAAGCCCGTTCAGGCGATGGACAGCACGCAGGGTGGACGCTGCTTCGCGGCCGGAGGCATGGACGAACATCTCAAGATCGGCTATCTGCAGTGACCGGTGGCACCGCATGCAGACTGACCACACAGTATGACCGCAGCTCGCGCCGTCTGCTAGGGAGTAGACCACCGCCGCTACACACGCATTGCCAATGTTGCGTGCGCGTGTGTGCGTGTATATATACATATAGTTGGAAGTTTCCCAGCTTCCATATCGGGCCCACATGCCCCTGAAAGCATGCGTGCCAAGTATTGCGCGGCCCCCAGATCTGCAGGGCATTCTTGGACGTCCACGAGCCCGTCAGCATCTTGTAACCCTGGCAACGAGAGAGAGAGAGAGAGAGGAACGAGGTGTGAGGTTCGAGGCGAGGCGCAAGCGGAGATGTAAGCGGCTAGCGGGTTAAACGTGGTCAACAACACGACACGACGCATCCTTCCAGTGCGCATGCTTGCATTAACTAAAAACTTGAAAAATGTTCCCACTAAGCCACAAATGCGCAATAGAGTTGAGAATTTTGAAACCGCATCATCATTCGCAGTTATGGGGCCGGTTTCACGAAGCGTACTTAACTTAAGTATAATTAAATCACTAATCATACTTAACTTCCCGTAATTA